ATAAATCCCGCTGATAACAGAATCGGTGGCGTGGAGAGCAGTTTCAGACACGACTGACACGTATTTGAATCTGCCTTTTTCCGAACTAATTTTTCTCCTTTTTCCAATCGCATATAGGGAAGAGGATTAGGGCCAAGCAATACTAAAAAAATAAAACCATCTCGAGATTAAAGTCATTATAATGCAAAATTAAACTCGTTAAATTTCGAGAAAGGAAGTCGAAATACAATCTTGAGAATAAACTCATTAAATTTCGAGAATAAAGTCGTGTTTCGAAAAAAAAAAAACTCGGAAATACAATCTTGAGAATAAACGTATTCATTTTCGAGAATAAAAGTGTGTTGCGAGAAAAAAAAACTCGTGAGAATTTTTAATAATCGTGAGAAGAAACTCATTAAATTTGTAGAATAAAGTCGTTGATTTGCGAGAGAAAAACTTGTTAAATTTCGAGAAAAAAGTTGAAATAATCGTATGAATAAACTCATTACATTTTGAGAATAAAGTCGTTGTGTTTCGAGAAAAAAGTCGAAATACAATCTTGAACAAAATCATTAAAGGTGCTCTAAGCGATGTCACACATTTTTCAGGCCAAAACATTTTTTGTCACATACAGCAAACATCTCCTCACTATCCGATAGCTGCCTGTCACCTAAACACCCTGTAAAAAAACGCGGTCTATGCAGACAACCCAGGCTCCACAAATGGCAACAAAGACAAACTGCGGCACCTGTCCACGAAACATAACAAATTGTTCCAGCCAATCACTGACAAGAAGGGTTTGGGGGGGGGGGGGTCTATCTAGCCTACGTTTTGTTTGAAAATATTTTAAACGTCAACAAGAAGTCACGTCACCCGACATCGCTTAGAGAACCTTTAAATATTGAGAATAAAGTTGTTGTTTTCCGAGAAAAAACTTGTTAAATTTCGAGGAAAAAAACTTTAAAAAAATGCAATCTTGAGAATAAACTCATTAAATATCGAGAATAAAGTTGTGTTTCGAGAAAAAAGTCAAAATAATCGTGAGAATAAACTCATTAAATTTCGAGAATAAAGGCGCTGTGTTGCGAGGAAAAAAACTCATTAAATTTTGAGAAAACAGTCGAAATAATCATGAGAATAAACTCATTAAATTTCGATGAATAAAGTCGTTGTGTTGCGAGAAAAAAAATCGTTAAATTTTGAGAAAAGTCGAAATAATCGTGAGAATGAACTCATTTAATTTCGAGAATAAAGTCGTTGTTGCGAGAAAAAAACTCGTTAAATTTCGATAAAAAAGTCGAAATAATCGTGAGAATAAACTCATTAAATTTCGAGAATAAAATTGTTGTGTTGCGAGAAAAAAAACTCGTTAAATTTTGAGAAAGTCAAAATAAACGTGAGAATAAACTCATTAAATTTCGAGAATAAAGTCGTATTTCGAGAAAAAAAGTCGAAATGAAATGTAGAGAATAATGCATTCGATCAGTTCATTGCATCATTGCATAGCCTGATGATAGAGGACATGGCAGAGTTGGATCACTAGTCAAGCTATATTTTAGACTTTCAGTAACAAAGAATATCAGCTATATCGGTAATGAATTGCATTAAAAGTGTCACTGAATTTGCCCGTGCAGAACTTTACTGATAAAAGACGTTTGAGCCGTCACTTGAACAATGAACAGCGCTGGCCCAAATGCACTCTGGCATATGGCAAAGTTGGACAACTATGATCAATTAAAACTGTAGCCTACGGCATTGCCATTAATGGCTGTATAGATGGTTACAGTCTTTACATTCTGTGGATAGAGGCGTACACAACCAATAACGATCCTAAAGTAATAGCCAGTTTGCTACTTCCTTCATAGGTACTGGCATAGGAGGGTGTCCCGACGAGAGCTCTGCACGGACATGCGGACCAAAAATGGTAGTGTAGCAGCAATGCAAAGGTACTATGGAGACAGTTTCTCGAAACACGACTTTATTCTGGACATTTAAAGATTTTTTGTTTTTCGAAAAAAAACACAACGACTTTAGTCTCGAAATTTAATGAGTTTATTCTGATGATTATTTCGACTGTTTTCTCGAAATTTAACAAGTTTTTTTTTCTCGAAATGCAGCGACTTTATTCTCAATAATTATTGAGTTTATTCTCAAGATTGTATTTCGATTTTTTTCTTGAAATTTAACAGGTTTTTTCTCGACAACGACTTTATTCTCAATATTTAATGAGTTTTTTCTCAAGATTGTGTTTTAAAATTTAACAAGTTTAATCTTGCATTATAATGACTTTAATCTCGAAATTAGTTTTATTTTATTTTTTTTACTATTGCTTGGCCCTAATCCTCTTCCGTTCATATCAGCTCAAAGGCTTTTATTTGCAATACAAATTAAAGGTAGTCTACAGTGTAAAAATATTTTTTAAGTTCTGAATTAAATTCCATACATCATCGATCCATCTTCCAAAACATGTTTGTCTTGCCCTGATTCACCATGGTAAGCCTATTAACCATTTATATTTTAGTCCATTAGGGATGTTTTTTTTTGCCGGAAGGCCACTCGCTGGAGCACGTCTCTTCATAACCTTATGCCGCGTTCCAGGCAACCTGTAATTCGTGTTTTTCCAACCTTATACCCATGCAAGTGCACTGGAACGACAGTTAAACCCGTGTCTTCGTACTAGATCGATGTACTCCCAGTTACGAGCTCTGACGTCACATAGCCCGCGAAACCATACAAAACAACAATGGCAGCCCCTACGGATGCAGTGTTTCTGCAGGCGGCACATGGTGTGAATACACTTTAGGACAATATAACGTTAACTAGTTTTCAGTCCATTGAGTGCAAGGATAAATTAATACTAAATACATTTCCAAATATACAAATAAAGTATACAACAGCTTATCTTGCCTTATGTACCCTTTCACTTTTGTACCCAAAGGCTGCAAATTGGTACTTAAGTGGTAGATATTAGCATTACTACATATTAGCACCTAAAATGTCCATATTAGCACCTAAAATGGACATGTTAACTCCTAAAATGTGCATATTAGCTCCTGAAATGTACATATTAGCTCCTGAAATGTCCATATTAGCACCTAAAATGTACATGTTAGCTCCTGAAATGTACATATTAGCACCTAAAATGTACAAATTAGCTCCTGAAATGTACATATTAGCACCTAAAATGTACAAATTAACACCTAAAATGGACATATTAGCTCCTAAAATGTGTGTATTAGTACCTAAAATGGATTAGCTCCTGAAATGTACATGTCAACACCTAAAATGGACAAAAGTGTTTTGAAAAGGTACAGCCCCAGTGACCGCTTTTGTACTTTTTTTCTGAGAGTGTATGCAAAAGAAAAATGTATTTAAACAATGAGGTCATTGAAGTAACGAATACTTGTCTGTTAACAAATGATTATGACAAAGAAATTTGTAGCATTGGAGCACGTTAATAATTATTTAGTTTTTGACACACACAGAATCACGCAATTAAATGTTATTTTCTTCCCATTTTTCTAATACCCATGATTCTGGTGTTGAGAGTGAAGGGGTCATAGATATGTGTAGTTATTGGTTGTAGCTGGTGTTATTTGTGTTTCGTGGAGATTGTCGGTCAGTGGATCTGCCACTTGAATGGTTAAGTGACCCTGCTCAAGCGAGCGTGAGAGAGCATCTGTGTGCGCTCGGCTGAAATAGGCTTTTCCATTCTGACACGGAGACACGTCGAGAAGAATGTGTTAAAACACAGTCCATTTTCATTAGGCAGCCTATTTTAGCTTGTGATCATTTTATTTTAGCTCATTGATCATTTCAGACAGTATTAGATAATGGGAGTGACACACAAGCCCAACTGAGCTTGATTACTTGACCCTCTTCATTTGCAACAACGGCGCTATCTCTGCCCCCGTGACACACACTCGTTCCCTCTGTCGGGTCAGTCTCTCGCATTTGTCTTTGGGATTTTATAATGCATGTTTACAGATACGTGACCCCCTGAGCGCAGCAATGCATCACTGTCAGCAGGACAGTGGCACCTGATTCCCATACGCTGACCTCTGACAGCGCGCAAAAAATAACCCGTCAATAGGACATTTGAACCTTTCCCAGCAAATATGATGCAGATCAAGTGTTGGTGAATTACTCGTGAGGTGTGCGCTCAGTAGCCCACACACACACACACACACCGTTTCATTTCAGAGTAAAACTCCTCACTACATCACGCTGAGAAAGATGACATTTATTTTCTTTGACATCTATGGTAGTGCACTGTCAGTAAAATCATTTTGTGTGTTTTGAATTCCCATCCATTAAAGGTGTTTGCGAGCCGCGCGCTCAAAGACGCTTCTTCATGTTCGCGGCACAATCGCTTCTTTTTATTGAGGACTTCTCTCAGCCAGATGGAGTGATTAGATATGAATCCATCTTGATACTCGCCTCAAGAAAGATTCACATTTCCAGTACATTCAAGCTAATCTCTCCATCGCTTGATACATCTGTTCGGTTAGGAAATATACAACCTCATTACACTCTAAAAAATGCTGGGTTGTTTTAACCCAATTGTGGGTCAATATGGACAAACTCAAACATTGGGTTTAAAATGTAATTTAAAAAAATGTAACCCAATGGCTGGGATTGTCAATATTTGACCCAAATGTGGGTTAAAACAACCCAGCCTTTTTAGAGTGATAGGATGTTGTGTGAAATTAAGAGAGGGGACGTATTTGGTGTTTCGGAACAACCAACGATTTTCAAGAATTTCATTTGCCTGCTGGTAACATTGGGTTACACATTTTGGGTCATTAAAATGGGTTATCTCCAGAAAAAAAATATTGGGTCATGTTTAACCCAACCATTGGGTAAAAATATTGGG